AAAAAGGGGGGACAAGCCCCCACAAAACTTCCTTTTCCAGCCTAGGAGATGTTTGGAGTTGTTTTGTTTTTGAAATGTAGTGTCTGGTGGATGAAACCGAGGAGGGAAAAACTGCTGGATGGAGATGAACTTTGCCAGGAGAGAAAAAATAAGTTTGATTCTTTTAAAAAATAAAAGGCAATTTTTGTCTCCAGCTGGAAGTCAGGTCTCAGATTTTTAGCCCCAGCGCTGGCCTCTTCTTTGGCTACACTTTGTGCTCGGGGAGCGTTAAAGGTGTCCTATGTCTTTTTTCTCCCCCCCCTCCCCAAGTCAGAGATGGAAGTTCAGGGAACGGTGTGAAATATTTATCGTGTTTCTCTCCAGTTACATAACTGCTACCCGTGGAGTTTTCCACATGTTAAAACTCCACAGCTGCCCTTTGTCAGGTTTATTTTTGGTCTACTGTGCTTTTAAAAAGGAAACCCATTATGAACGCTCTGTCGCGTCGCGTGCTTTAAATTGACGGCCGCTGGTGTTCGCTGCCTTACAATGGCTAAACAAAGGCGATTTCCCCCCATTTACTCGTAGGGACCAAAAAGAAGAAGAAAAAAGTCTGGTCCCTTCAAAAGAACTGACAGATCTAGGTAAAGGCCATTCCCAGGAGAAGGACTTGTTACAAACCAGTGCGTTAGGGTAGAATAATGCGTGAAGTCCTGGATTGAGGAGAGGTGATTTAGTGGTCCACACATAAAGAATTCAGCCGGCCCTGCGGACAAAGGCAACCAGAGTTTCGACGTGCCGAACAGCCAGGAGTGAGGCATCCTTACCGTTGCCTTGGCAACAGCAAGGAAAGCCCAGTCCCCTTGGGCAGGGGCAAGGGTGCCAAGGCCTCAGGAAGTCCTAAAAAGAAAGTCAAAAATGGCAAAAGATGGAGTGCGAGCTAGAGACCGGGGGCGTAGGCTTCAGGACAAGCTAATGGCAGTTACTCCAGGAGGTCACCAAAAAGCTGTAACAGTTTAAAAGTTGTTGGTGTCTTGTGTGTGTGTGTGTGTGTGTGTGTGTGTGTGTGTGTGTGTGTATGAGAGAGAGAGAGAGAGAGAGAGAGAGATTCTTTTCCTTTCCTTTCCTTTCTCTCTTTTCTTTTCTTTTTTGTTTTTTGGTCTTCCCTAAAGACACGGGTTGGGGGGGGAGAAGCATACTTTAAAACAAAATTACTCTGTGACATTTTTGAGCAATTGGCTCTATCATTTATTTACCACCCACCCATGGCTACAGTGACTCATTTGGGACAATAAGTAATGAAACTGGAGCTCTGCCATTGATAATATCACAGTCTGCCTCACCCCCCCCCAAGTCCCTCCCACCACCTTTTCTGTCTTTTGAGATAGGGTCTCACTATGTAACCTAGACTGGACTTGAATTCAAACTGGCTTCCAACTCCTGATCCTCCTGCCTTTGCCTCCCAAGTACAAAACTCACAGTGATAAACAGGCCAAAAAAAAAAAAAAAGGAGAGAAGGAGAGAGAGAGGAAGAAGGGAAAGGGAAGGAATCTAATCTAGAAAAAAGTATATCATGTGTTAGAGGAAGACAGAATAGAACAACTTTTTCTTTTGTGTTTCTCAGTGGTAGAATTTTTTAAGGTATTATTTAATTCCCCAAGGAAGTGGAGCTGTGGCTAAGTGGTAGAGAGCTAGTCTTGAGCAGGCCCAGAGTTCAAGCCCCACAACTGACCAAAAAAAGGGGGGAAATCTTGTAAAAAGCCAGGCATGGGTGGCTTATGCCTGTAAGCTATTCAGGATGCTTGAATTCTGGAAGTTTCAAGTCCAGTGTTGCTGTCCTGTGAAACTGTATTTACAGCAAGGATTCGGATTGAATGGGACCATTTAAAGGCACTGAATAATTACAGAGGCAGAAGAAGCAGAGAAAGTAAAGGAGATCAATCATGGGGAAAAGGTGAATATTTATCTGTGAATAAATCGAAAGACATAACTGGCTTAAGAGCTAAAAAAAAGATGCAGACAAAAGAACACACAAAACAGTAAGCAAACAAATAGGGAAGGAATGGGGAATGAAGCAGCAGCTCGAGGAGAAGTATTTTCCAGTGCTTGAGGGGGAGAAGGGAGGATTGAAAATGTTCTCCCCAACTCAATAATTATGGGGATACTGAAAACTTGGATTCTAGAGAAAATAAACTTCCAAAAACTTGTAGTAGAATAGACATGTTTTATACTTGGTGAAGCAACCAATGCTTATGGTAAAGAAAACAGAAGATTATTGACACTTGATAAAGATGGTATGGCAGACTCTGTTCAACAGGGAGGCAATGACAATAGGTGTGAAGACCACTGTATTGGGTCTTGCAGTGAGGAGAGAAATTGGAATTAATTCTGACTCTAACAAAGGCAAGAAGGGTTTTACCACTCAGGAGCAGGATGATGAGACAGGGCATGGAAAGTTGCCAAGAGGAAACATGAAAGAGAAAGGCTTTCTCACTAAACTGACTTGGCAGATTTATTGCTGAAAAATCAGCCAGGGTGTTGGAAGATCAGGGTGGTCAGATACCAAGGGTGGGGCATTTCTGTTAAACTGGGCTCATCAGAATGCTGCCAAGTTCTACCAGAACAAAGAAAGAAGCCCACAGCCAAGTTTGGCCTAGTGAAGGAGAAGCCTCAGGAAATCCAGGAAAGTTTTGGACTGACCCAGTCTTTGTCCTAACAACATAATGCTTAAGAATCTTTAGCGACAGGGGGGTGAAAGAACTAGCAGTCATTGATGTTGCTTTATTAATGAATGGGTAAGAGTTAGTTTCATAGTTGTTTTGGCATTAAGGGAGCCCTGGGCAGCATCTGGGGAGGAATATCACAGAAGCCCCTTGAAACTCTGTACTCAGTGGTCATACTGTTCCCACCACCACCTGCCACTAGGTTGTTTCTCTCCCCTCCCGAAAACATAAGTAAGGGTTTTGGAATACATTACCACTTTTTATTCTTTGCACCCACTCTAATTCTCAATTCAAAATAACATTGAGGAGGTGTGGAGGCACCTTTCCTAAAACAAGTATCTAAAGTGAGGGCTGGGTTTAACCTGACTTCTCACAGCATCTCAGATCTGGTGGATCTGTGTTGGCTGGGTTATTTTCCCTCGTGGGTGTGGAGAAGGTTCTGCCAAGTGTACCCACATGCTGCCATTCAGGGAAGGGAGAGAAAAAAAACCTTCCATTTCCAGAAGCACAAAAAGTCTCAATTGTTCTACAATAAATGTTCAACTCCTGTGGATAAAATGTAAAGGCTTTAATGAGTCTCTATTTAGTTTGGCTTGCTTTTTCTTATTATCTCCTCACATCCTTTTCTGGAACCTTCCTGATTTCAGCAACCATCCATCATGATGGGTCCATCTGCACATTCATGCTCATGTTCCCTCCTGGGGTCTGGAAGTTTTAAGGTCCTGAAAAGGCTAATTCATAAGTGTTTGTTCCTCACCCTTCCCCCCAAGATGATGCCCTGAGCTTTAAGAGGTGGGACTTAATGGAAGGTCTCTAGGTCATTGGGGGTAGACTCATAATGGGGGAATTCTCTCTGTCTCTCTGCCTCTGTCTCTCTGTGTCTGTCTGTTTCTTGCTCCCCCTCTCTTTCCTCTTTCTCTTTCTCTCTCTCTCACTCAGTGTAACCACTAACTTTCTCTAAACATATGCTCCTGACAGGAATCTGGCCACCATAAGGTGATACAGACAAGGAACAGCCACCAAGCCAACACTATATTGTCTAGATGGTCAGCATAAAAAATGGTGAACTAAACAAAACTTTTCTTTCTATAATTTAGCAGCCTCACGTATTTTACTATAATAATGCATACTAGTCCACATCCCAATGCTCTTTTCCAGGCAAATACATCTGTTCAGAGAAGCCCATAGTATCTCAGGCATGAAGTTTCTGTTATTCTCCTAAAGCAATACCTTTCTTTTGGTACATTGTAACAATACAGTACTCAAAATGTATCATGTGGAGGAGGGGAATAACTTACTTGCCTTACTTGGTTCTAATTACTATAAGCAGTAACATTCTTTCCTGTTCTCTGCTGTTAAAGTGCTTAACATCATGAATCCTATATTCCAATTAAGTGAGCTTCACTATCAACCAGTGACTAAGCTATCCAAACTTTCTTTCTTTCTTTTTTCTTTCTTTCTTTTCTTTTCTTTTCTTTTTTAAAGTCATTTACCTTGAATGAATAGCTGGATTCTTCATTGAGGGATAATTATCAATCTTATAGGGAGTAGTCATGAAAATTATTTTTAGTAGAATTTCCTTAGGGGATGAACTTATATATGGCAAATATTAGCCAGTGTGAAAGAAAGGTAGACAGCATCCATTAGTCCACAGGTATGGAATCTTAACAGCTACAATTCAGAGAAAACAGGAATAATCCCCACCCCCTCTACCTATCTAGCCTTATCCTCTCAATCAGGAAAATAAAGCCCAAACTTGATCAATCCCAAAAGTCATTAAGCTTAAAAAATGATTAGTATTTTCTTGGTAGACAGAGCCTAACAGACCTTTCTGCTTAGGCAGGTCTCA